AAGAGAGTATGTATGTGTGTATTGTGAGTGAATTTTTTGAATGAAAAAAATCTTAGAAACGAAGAAAATGTTTTTTTTTTATCTTTTAATTTTTTTACTTTCATAAATATTAGAAAAAAACGATATTTTTTAATTTAATAGTTTTTCATTAAACAACGATAACAATTTTTTTATTTTTTTTTTTCACTTTCATTCACCTTTTTTTAAATTTATTTTTTTTTATTCTTAAAAACAGGGACTTTTTTTTTATTTAAAAAGGAGGCAGAACAATAAATTTCTCATATCAACTTTAAGGAAGAAAGGAAGTTGGGAGAGAAAAAAGGACACGAGATAGTGATAGACAGTGAGAGAGAAAGAGAGACATAGAGAGATGTAGTAAGTCACGTCATGTGGCATTATCAGTAACAACAATGAAAGGTAAAGGAAGATGAGAAAAATTTTTCACTTCATGTCTATTTTTATCCCAGCGATTCCATCCATTTGATATGTTTTAATGAATCGCCAGTAACAACACACACACACACATTTTCCCTCGTCTTCCACCTCTCAATGTTGTCTATATCACTTAAAAATAAATATCAAGAGAATGCCACATACACACATTTAACTGTGCTTCATCTAAATTTTATCTCTTTTTATCATCATTCAGCAGTTTTTGTTTGCTTGCTTCTTAAAAACTTTTTTTTTTCTCTATGCAAAAATTATCATCCTATTTAACTTCTTTGCTCAATCATGGAATTAAGTATAAATCTTTTGAAAATGAGATTGATAAGTAGGAAGTTCTTTTTATCCTTTTTTTTACTCTCCTTGAAATTGTAGGCGTTTAGAGACAACTTAAAGACCGTAATTAAATGCTTTGAATTTTCAGGAAATTAATCCTTAATCAAGTTTGCAGCACATTAATTAACTTATCTTATTGTGGCCTATAAACAGTCTTCAAGTGCTTTAACTGATTGATTGTTATCTTTATCAAAGGAACTTGAAGCATAGCTGTTGAGAGGATGAATTCATTTGATGCAGCTATTACACAGGCGTTAGCTATTCCTTTTCAAGCATTAAACTGATAGTTTGAGTCTGTCTTCATAAGATAGTTCATAATAGAATTTAAGGCTTAATCCACAGATTCAAAGCTTTATTTTATATCAACTTTCAATAAATTTTGTTCATTCATTTCTAGTTGAATAAGCTTCCATTACACAAAAAAAAAGTATTTCCAGAATTAAGAGAATTGGAATCAAATTTTCATTAACCTCTGAATCAATATAAGAACTTCTGAGTGCAGCAGCTAATTTCGGTTTCAATATGAAGCTTGCACATGAAATATGAGCCAAAATGTACTGCAAAAAAATGTTTTTTCTTTTTTTGAGAGATTTTATGAATGCTTCAGGTGAATTGACCATGAAAACAGGTGGAGCGTTGCAACAGTCTTCATAAAATTGTTCATATAGCTTTTTATCTTATTCCAATGAGTGCGGATGAGAACTAATTTTCGATTTCGAAGGATCTAATTTTCGAGCGCGGGAAAAAAATTGAATTTGAAATTTCCGTTACAATTATTTGTTTTCATTTTGAATTTAAATTACTTCTTGAAAAAAGAATCTTCATGGGAACTTTCAGTAGAAGTTTAATGTTTTTTAATGTGTCTAGAATTCATTTATAGGCTATTAAATTGTCTTATTTCATGTTCTGATCCAGACTACCGCCATTTCGTTTCGGACTTCTTCGAAATTAATTTCGATTTCTTCGATATTAGAGCCGAAAATTCAAATTTCAAAAACCAGTTACATTATGTAAACAATAAATTATTTTAATTAATACCAATTCTGCACAAATTCCAAAGTTCTTCATAAATTATTAATTTTATATTTTTTTTATCTATTCTCAACTTTATTAACAATAAAATTTGAGCAAAATGAGTAAGTGCATGTTAAAATCTGGTTTAACCGTCAAAAATTTTTGAATATTATAACGGTCATAAAAATATTGAATTTTTTTGAATACAAATTTAACGGATGTTATATGAAATGACGGTAGTCTGTTCTGATCCTTCATTTAATCAACAATTTATTGATACAGTAATTGCCCAAGTTGAAGTAGTTTTTGAACATTGTGAAGAAACGATTGATAAACTATTAAAAGCTTTTGTTAAATTTAGAGCAAAATTTCAGTATCCGTGTTGATTAATACATAAAAGAAACAATTTTGCATCAAAAAACAATTGAAATAAATTTGTTTTTTAATTAAGTCGTTAACGTATTTTTATTTTTCAAAATTTCATATTTTCGAATTTTTTTTGAATTTTTCGAAATTAACCAAAATTAACTGACATTTTCTTTGTTCGCACTCATTGGATCTTATTGAATAAAATCCTTTTAAAGTTCTTAGATTGATTGAAAAACTTTCACTTGAAGCCTTTGAGAAAACAGCTTCATTGCACTTGTATAATTCATTACGATCTCGTCTATAGCAGCAAGCTGGAGAGAAATCAATTTTAATTGTACTGAACGTCCATTACTCTTGAAGTCTTCCATCGATTTTTCTCCTCAATCTCATTTCAAAATTACTCTTTTTAATCCCAAGCGATTAATTCAGAGATAAAAATAATTCAATTTCATTTTTTCTGATTTTCTTTTTAAGGCTTGGTGCGATCTAACTGATTTTAGCCAATTCATACGCGCGATTCTGCAGTGCTGACGAGAGATTAGTTTTGAATAAAACCAAATAAATTTTTATCCCTGCCTTAATGTGACTATTTTGTTTTAATGCAGCACAAGGAAGTTAAACTTATATTGTTTTCACACAATTTTTATTAAAAACATTATGTTTATAGTAAATTTTCACTTTTTAAGTAACGGGGCAAATTCATCATTCCTTAATAAAATTTTCATTTATCTCTTATAATAATAATGCGTGTGTGTAATGTTTAATGTTTATATGCTATATACAGTAGCGGCCAAAAGTATCCGGACAAACACAAAAATGTCTATAACTTTTGACTGGATGGTCCAATTTAATTCAAATTTTCACTGGAATACGTAAAATCGAATGGCAATTAATAAAAATATTACTTTAATAACAAATCTTTAAAACCAAAAATTTTATTTTAAAAAAACTAAAAATTGAATGGACAAAAGTATCCGGACAAAATTAAAAGTTTAACGAAAATTTGTTTAAAAAGCTTCTCTCCCACTGAACGAATGCTTTTTTGTTAAGTATTTTGTGCTTTTTGTTTATATTTATCATGTCAACTCAAAAATATTTAAGTTCACCAGTTAAAAAAGCAATTATTAGTGCTGTAGATCAAGGACGAAATTACAGAGACATTGCACGTCAATTTAGTACTGGAAAGTCCACAATAGCTGATGTTGTTCGACGATTTAGAGAAAGAAATAATCATAACGTGTTACCGAAATCAGGAAGACCCAGAAAGACAACTGCAAGACAAGATAAGGCTTTAATTAATGCATCGAAAGCTGATCCGCGTAAGAGTGCTGTAACATTGAATGCAGAAATGAAGGAATATTACAATGTTCAAGTGAGTACAAGAACAACTAAACGTCGATTGAATGATGCAGAATTGTTTGGACGACGTCCCGTCAAAAAGCCGTTTGTTTCTGTAAAGAATCGAAATGCTCGAATAAAATTTGCCAAGGAACATCTTAATTGGACTCGCGAGCAATGGTCAAAAGTTCTTTGGAGTGATGAATCAAAGTTTCTGTTGTTTGGATCTGATGGAATCAAGTTTGTGAGACGACCAAAGGGTCATAGAAACGATCCTAAGTATCAGTTACCGACAGTTAAACATGGTGGAGGTAACGTTATGGTGTGGGGATGCTTTAGTCGTGATGGAGTTGGTCCGATTCATCGAGTTACTGGTATTATGGACAAGGAAATGTATAAAGATATCATCAACAGAGTAATGCTTCCCCATGCCAAACGTGTTATGCTTCGAGGTTGGATTTTCCAGCAGGATAACGATCTCAAACACACATCGAAGGTCGTTAAGGAATTTTTTAAAACCAAGAAGATCCGAGTTTTGGAATAGCCATCCCAAAGTCCGGATCTTAATCCGATTGAGCATCTTGCGAACATGTAGAGAGACAAATTTCAGGTCGAAAACCTACAAATCAGAATGCTTTGTTCACCATAATCAAGGATGCTTGGGAAAAGATCTCAATAGATGTTTTGATTAAGCTGGTGGACTCAATGCCGCGACGATGTCAAGCAGTAATTGATTCTAAGGGCTTTCCAACAAAGTACTAAACAGAAAAACTCAAAATTCTATCCATTATAAGCCATTTACTTAGTAAAGAGTCTTTTTTTCTTAAACTTTTAATTTTGTCCGGATACTTTTGTCCATTCAATTTTTAGATTTTTTAAAATAAATTTTTTGGTTTTAAAGATTTGCTATTAAAGTAATATTTTTATTGATTATCATTCGATTTTACGTATTCCAGTGAAAATTTGAATTAAATTGGACCATCCAGTCAAAAGTTATAGACATTTTTGTGTTTGTCCGGATACTTTTGGCCGCTACTGTATCTTATGCAGGTTTTTTTTCCTTCATTCTTAAATTTCTTTTTCTTGTATTATATAATTCATTCATCAGCATCATCATATCCTTATGTGTATGAGAGTTGATTCTTTTCTTGCTTGACTGTTATAGAAGGTGAGAGAGATGAGACATGGATGGAACAAAGCGCATCATCCGGCAAAGAAGATTAGATTCTTATTTTTTTTATAATATATTGTAATTCATTTTTTTTTCTGCTTCATCTCGTAGAATTTTCATCATGTTGCTGTTGTTTGTTGGTTTTTGTTGTTGTATATATGGGAGGAAAAATAGAAGTGGATGGTAATGGAGGGAGAGAGTGAGAGAGAAATTTCTTTTTTTTTGTTTTTGTGTGTATGAGAGATAGAGAGATGAGGATTATTTTATATTCTTGTTTCTTTCTCTTTCCTTGTTGCTCTATATCTATATGCCATCACTTTTGTTGAATTTAAGAATGATTATTTGTTGTTTTATCGCCCTTTATATCGACTTTAAGTGTTGATGATGGTTTCTCGTCCGTTGGTGTTGGTGGAGCATCTTTGCGTGGTGGCATGCGTTCATTAATCGCATCGAGACCTTTCGCTTCCGCAAATGACGTGATTTTATGATTCGGTGAGAAGCCTTGTAATGCTAGAAAAGGTAGAATAAAATGGAATACACGATAATGATGAAAGGTTAATTATACATAATTGACATTTATCAATAAATTCATTAAGCATAGCAAAAAAATGTGAATCCTTACCGTTTTTAAGTGACGTCTTTCCACCAGACAACGCACCAAGTGGCAAAGCTCCAGTTGGTGTTAGTCCCTTCAATTGCAAAACAGATTCTGACTCCTCTCTGCGTGTGATTCGATAATGAAGAGAAAAAAAAATGTTATTTATAAGAAAATCATATTAAAATAATGCAAATGATGTAAGATTTTCTACGACGGTGGCAGCAGGTCGATAAGTCTTATATAAAAGCATGAAAATTAATTAACACTCTGTGGACTGTCTTAAAATACAATTTATGAACAATTTTTTTTTGAGCGAATCGAGACCATTAAACTGTCTGCCACTTGATAGGTAGAAAATAATGCACGGCACACTCACCTTAACACAGAAAATACGCGTGCCATTTTACCGATTGCACGAATTTTATTTCTAATGACCTCTTTACGCAAATTAGCTGCATTACCTACACATTGAATGAGAGAATTGTAAAATTTATTATTAAGCTTGCAGTGTCTTTGCCTTTGATTTTTTTAGACAAAAATATTTCTTTTTTTAAAAAAAATCAATTTTTAAGCATATTTTTTCAATAATAAAAAAACACTTCAAAAGCTTTGAGCCTTTATTTTTATTTTTAATCCTACATAATTCACTTATTTTGTCTGCCATCAACCATAAAAGCTTAATGAAACTGAAACCAACTACTAAATTACTAATTATCACCATTATACAACTTTTGAAGTGTGTTGTAGAAATTAAAAATAAAGGAACACAAAAATATATATATTTTAACTATTATTATTATTATTATTACTGTCATGTTAATACAAAAATTACATATATACAATTATTAGTACAAACAATGTTATGTAAGACATTAAGGAATGCAAAGAAAATTAATGAAATAAAAAAACATACACAAAACATAAGAAAATTGAAGGAATTAAACTTACAAGCATCAAAACATTTAAGGAATAAATAGAAAATTTGGGTGTACGAGAATAAGGAAACAGGAAGATGTTCAAAGATATTATCAAAACTTACTTATGAATGATGATTCTTAAATTCTTAAAATTAAGAAGCTGAATCTTTGAAAAGACTTTTGTTCAACTCTTGATATCTAATTCAAGTGCTTTAAGCAATGATTGTTATTGGAATTTTTCAGTGTGTCTAATTATCTAACCGTAACCAGAAGGAAATTCACAAGAAATAATGATTCAGGTGCTTAGTTAAGGTGTTGTTCGTATATTTTGTAATGCATTAGAGCAATGTTTTCCAAACTGTGTGCCGTGGCACACTGGTAAAAGTTTGGAACACTGCTGGATTTAATGACAGTTTATACAAAATTTCTGACAATTGAATTCATGTCAAAACCAGAGCTTGATGTCAAGTCGACCTCAATAACTGTCTACTTCGAGCTTTGATCTAAGCTCAATCCCTAACCCCCAAATAAGCACCTGTTGCAGACGCAAATTAATTTAATCTCATTTCCACTTTTTCAGATGAAGTGTAGTTGAAACCATCTTAAATTCAAGATGCTATACATGTTAGTGTAATTTTCAATAAAATCATTGAGAAATAATTATTTTGTGAAAATCTTCTTAATTACTGTTTATTGTTGTAAGCTGCTCTTATCAACAATTGATATCATTTCTAAGAAGTTTTTAAATTAGAACTTTATACGAAAATCTCAAGCACATTGAATAACATTGATAATAAAAGTAAGAAATCATCATTTAAAGTAAATTTTAACATTTAATATAAGCGACAATTAAGGAAGAGCTTAAGCAACCTTTAAATCTAAAGGAAATACATTCTTTATTAAGCTTTAGTAACTGGTGAGAAGTTGAAGTTATATAAAAATTTAAGAGAATTCACAAAAAAGTTTATGTAAAGCAACAAACGTGATGAAGGAACTGAAATGTCTGAAGCAATTAAAAGTTAATTTCACAAGGAGAATGAATAGAAAAATACAAAAAATATCAAAAATTTAAAAATTGCCTTTCAGGCTTTCTTGTGTATTTGCAGTGAAAAAAAAACTGACAAAAAATAAATTTTCGAAAAAAATATTCAACTTAAAGATAGAAAAAAAAAATATTTTTCATGTTGCCTAAATTGCTTTTGTTACTGTATACTGCAGAACATCATCATTACTATTATGTCCGCATAGTTGGGGGGAAAATACACAATATATATTTATGGGGAAGCTATTATAATATTTCTGTAGGGTGGGGATGTTAGGGGAGAACACATAGAAATAAATATTTAATTCTATACTTTCAGATGGACACTAAAAAACTAGTTTTATGATCTTTTAAATATAGACAATACAAATCTAAACGAATACTTGGTTTAGCTTTATACATTTAGCTGCGACATTTATGAAGCTCTTTCTTTGTTTGTTCATCAGGCTTCTCATTTATTACATATATATTTTATGGGGAGGAACAATAGTCTGTGATGCTAAATTTCTTCATTACTGATTATTATTATTTTTTATATTCAATAATTTTAATATCATGTGTTTGATGTATCTTCATGTTATGGCTGTGTGATCAGGAGTGTATCTAGAATGCAAAGCATTTTTCAAGGGAATGGGAGAATTTTAGGAGTAGGGAAGTTCAAAGAGTGAGATTTGAGGATCAATACACATCCCATGATACACTCCTGACTGTATAGTTGTGATTCATTCTATATATTAATCGTTCTTATTTAATAGAATGAAATAAAAGCAAAACTATATAGAAATGCGTCATTTGTGTGTGATTATGAAGCATTTCTAAATGAAATGTCTTATCATTATTGATTTGAGGCTCTAAACAAAAGAGAATGAGAGACACGACTTAGATTTGTTGACGAAAGTTTATTTTAAAGTTCCAATAATATGCTCTAAATACGAATATTATTGATTGAGATTATTATTTATATCCTGACATGTGTACACCGAACTGTCGTTAAGGGATTAAGCATATGCTGTAAAATTTCACTGCATTACATTTTATAACACGTAATATAAACGAATAAAGCTTGTATAATTACGAAACTACATTCCAAAGTCTAGTTCATCATTTTCGTGTGAGCTATCAATTAAACCGAGATAACTCTTTGTAGACTCACTTTTACTTATCAGTTTAGCTCTAAATATTGTAATGCTTTATTAAAAATGTCATGACAAGTGATTTATACAGCTTAGAGCAAATTTAAGTCGTATTTTTTTGCTGATTTATATTCAAAGATAGGAAAAACAAGAGTGCAACTTTTCCTAATTACATTTACATTAAAAAAAAGTTCCGCTCTCGAGAAATGAGATCTGAAATTTCTCTTGAGATTATAATGCATTGTGCTCCTTTATTCTACATAGTATTAATGTTCTCGAGTTCAGTGTACAAGGTCATGCAACATTGAAATTTATTATAACAATAAAGTTTGTTACTAGCAAAAGTAAAGTCTCTAATCGACGTACAATTCTTTCTCAGAAATCGTAAATTACACAAGCATGAACTTTTCATGTTGCTTTATGATTTCTGTTTTTTAATCGCCATTTCTTTAAATAATTTTTTTCCATAATTGCGAGTAAAATTTCTTATTTATGAACGAAATAATGAAAAAGTTTAACATTCTGAATTAATCAGGACGGTAAATTGTGAGAAAATGGACTTGTGATCAACAGAAGGGTTTCTTTATGCATAAAAAATGACCAAATATGTTTTATTCATAAGCTTTTTTCTAAGAAACTTTATTCATCCTTTAATATTTTACTAGAGAGCTCTCGATATGTAATCAGTTTTAAAATAGGGAATTCAACTATTAGCTTAAAGGAATGGAACATTTTAAAGGTCTTTTATGAATTGCTATATCTAATTTTAATGAATTGTCCATTTATCAATTCTAAAGCTCCAAGTTTTAAACAGTAGAATTTAATGTCAGATTCGTCAAATCTAAGCAGTATCCTCCCAAACATCAAATACTAAAAATTAACAGTAATAAACTATAAGATAATCAACTATAACTATACAGAAAGGAAAATATTTATATATTATTTATGGAATCATCTATAGATAACCTATACTATGTAAGCGTCTCTAAATATAAGCGAAAAATTTATTACTCATTAATGTTGTTGTGGTCATTTTCAAACAACACAAATAAAGAAGAAAATTATTAATGAATACTTAAAAGAAAAGGATAGAAAAAGAGAACCGAACAAAAAAAAAACGAAATAAGAAAATGGTTTTCATAATGAAAATACCAAATTTTCATTTTTTAAAAGACAGAAGGCTTCTTAGTAGTGAAAGAAAGAAATAATGGAAGGAGATAACGTTCATAGAGAGAATATTAACACAAAACAGGAAGTCATTAGAAATTAATTAAGTGAAAAGAAAGGCTAAGTACATTGAGAAGATTGGAAGGAAGCTGTTTTTGGCTAGTTCCCCCATTTTATTTCCGTTTGAATTTTTCATCATCATCATCTCTTTGAGGAGATTTAAAGCTCATGCAAGTCAAGTTTTTTAAGCACATAATTATATTATTGAAAAATTTCTATCATATTTCAACCAAATAATGTTGGTAGATTGATAATCTACAGAAGTCAAAAGGGACAGTTTAGCTTTTCTTTAAGTTTGGAAATAAGGGTCACTCCTTCAAAATAGAAAGGATGTATATTTTTCTATTGAATAAAAAAATATCAATTTCTTTTTCTGTTAGATTAAATAAAGAAGAAAATTATAGACAAAATTTATGTTACACATTTAGAGAATTCAAACCAGACAAGAATAGGAAAAATTAATAGAAAAGGGGAGCAAACAAACTTTAAATTTTAAATCTGTTGGTGCAAAATTCAGACATTTAAATAAAAATAGATGACAGAGAGAGATGGAAAGAACAGAATTGATAACGGGATAACAATTATTCGAAGGAATTTTGTACGCCTTTTTTGCCTTTTTCACATTTTTACGTGGGATTTTCAACAAGGAAATTTAAATTTCAAATTCTCACACATTCGCATGCTTATTTACTTAATTTGACTTTGTTTTCATTTAATTTTTTGTTCATCATTCAATGTATTCTAAAAGTAAACATGTCCTATGTTGTGGAGTCTGCTGCTAAATATAAACGAAGCGTCTGCATACCCTAATTCCACTCCGTAAAGTTTGCTGGATGTGAAAATACATTTCAATTTTAATTGAATCTTTCTAAAGCTTTTGAAGGTAAATATTCAGAGTACGTATAAATTTTGATTCCATACACGAATGTAATGTTGATGCTTTAAATTAATTTTTAAATGTAAATATCCATTGATTTAATCAAGCTATCTAAATTATTAAAAGCTATAAAAGCTTTTAAGAAAGATTAAGAATTTTAAATAAATAAATTTATGTGTCACTTGATTCTACTTTAAAATTATTTTTTTGGATTAAAATGTTATCTCATTCCATGATTGTTGAATTACGATTTTAT